GATGCGAACCTCAACTGGACATCTATACATGAGACACTGCTTTTTCATATATATATATATATGTAGACAACAACTCTTCGCAAAGATCAAATATTGTTTCAATATCATGTTATTTCGAAGGCCATCCCCTCAGGGCGTCAGCAGGAAGCCCAGGCCCCCCCAGGAGCACCACGCACACCCCGGCGGAGGGAGCCGCCGCGTGGTGGAGCACCACGCACCAGGCTGTGCAGCTCATGGACGTTTCCATCAGCCCACCGGGCGTGGTGGAGCGCCACTCGAAAGCCACTGGAAGCACCACGAGCTCCGACTACCTGGCAGCACCACGGAAGGCCAAGGTCCGCCAGCGCCAGAACTCCAGGCCGGGACAGCGCCAGAACTCCCACGCCTCCCCGGTGTCGAGCCGGGCTGTGTTCTGAAGAAGGACTGGGGACCAACGGCGGATGCCGAGATGGCCTTGGGAGCGAGAGCGATGGCTTCCACCCTATAGTAGCGATGGCCTCCACCCTATAGTACAGTGGCTCAGGCAGCCCATCATGGACGAGAGTCAAGAGACGGACTTCCTGGACGAGGTGCCCGACACCCCCAGAGACACGGAGAAGAGGTATCGCAGCTCGGCGGCGCTGGACTCGGTGTTGCAGGTGGTGCGTATCACGCGTGGCGTTGCACCGGTCACCGTGGGTTTATTGAGCCATTGCCATACACTGCACGGGATGTGGCATATGTTTGCACTATCTTCTTGCCAGAGCACAAGCCGATTTAAGTCCTTCTAGCACGATTTTTATGCGATTCATGCAGGTTCACGGTGTGCATTGCAATGAGTCATCACTATACAGCTCAACATGCAACTGAGGGAAGCAGAATGAAAAGGAGAGTCATTTGCAAACTCAGGTGATTTTGGTACCCAAATCGACACCCAGTTCCGCGATACGGGTGCACAGACCGATGCCTCCTGGTCTGACTCTTGGGCCTTTCTTCATCGGGGAGTCAGGGTGGTGCCTGACTCGCATGGCTTTTCTCCCCGCTGGGAAGAACTGGAAGGCCGACCGGGGTTTCAGCAGGAAACGCGGGGTTCCAGCAGATTTAGCCTTCAGCGTTTTTCGAACATGGACGGTCACTTGGACTGAATGAGATTTGGCATGGTAGGGCATGGTCAATGTTATAGCTGGATCGCGTGAGGTACTGTATGCTATTTTTCTCGTTCTTTTCAATCAAACCTGCTTTTGCATTGCAAAATTCTTGTTTCATAGCCGGCATTCTCTATAACATGGAGTTCTGGCAGGATATTCCCCCAGTCAAGGGGGATCTTTTGCATTGCAAAATTCTTGTTTCAGGTCTTTCTTGTTATTTGTGCCTTGAAGATCAGCATTTCTTGCAGTCCAATGCTGAACGAGCCCATGCGCCGGTCGCAGGGGTCGCAGGTCTCTCGACAACGACGGCCTCTCACAACGGGGGATTCGTGGCATGAGAAACGCGTCTTTTGGCTGAGGATTTGGCGGCCGAGAAGCTCAAGCAGGACAAGAAAAAGAAGAAGAAGTCCACGGCCACCAAGGTGGAGGGGCTGCACTTCTGGTTTTGCGGAGTTTGAGGGGATTTGGATGTTTCTCCAACCGGGTGAACCCTACATAACCCTACTACACCTGGGAAATTCGGAATAGTGTTGCTGTAAGAATCTGTAAGATATTTGTTTGCATCCGGTTCCTTAGCAATTCGCAGAGGTGTTTGTGTGTACGGGTTCTGTTTTCGGGTGTGAGGGACATGTCGAGTGTCTTTCAGGTCTCCTCATGACTCGTGTCAAAACCTCAGGTCATGCAATGTGTGATCATTGGCTGCGAACTGCTTCTCTTGCGAGACCTGTAACTAACACGATGTAAGAGTGTCGATGCAAGATTGACTACTCACGAGAGCTTTATTTAGCAGGTCGCTGACCATTGACCTGTTGGACTTGGAGGGTCTTTTTTCAAGAAGGGAAGGATGATGAAGGATAGGTTCAGGGGGAAGCTTCCAGAAACGTGCCGTGCCACCATGGTTGGAGGCCATGGCTACGGAGGCCATCGCTAGTAGGTTGGAAGCCATCGCTATTATGTCGACTTATGAGGACCCCGCGAGCAGGTCACCTCATGTCGAATTATCCCTGACAGCCCCTGTGAATTTGGGGCCGCTGCGAGGCTTCCACACACTGGCGACAAGAAGAAGACCTTGCTTATTCAATGTTATTTCATCTTATTTCAACACATTTCAACTTTGTTCGTCTCTTTTTAGGAGTGTGGAACTATGAGATGAATTGGAGCTTTGATGAGTCCTCCTTCAGTCACTGAAGTTGGACAAGAAAAATGGGACACGAGCAGCTGAAGTTGGTCAGTCCTGGTTGCATGTCCCTCTCTAGCCCATATAGAGCTGGCAAAACTGTGCGAACTTATCTCATGTTCATTCAAATGCACCTGTACACCCCCAAACTGACTGAGGCCACAAACTGAGGCATTGAGCCAGGGCTGTATGGTTCACCCCACATGTGCCATATGCTTCACTCAATTTTGGACGTTAAAACCTTCCTGCACCGCATGGGGCTTGACTGCTTGATTCCCAGGAGGAGTCAGTGCGACAGCAGCACACCAGGGCGGCCAACTTCACGCCCATTGACAAGCTGAAAGAAAAGGCAACCGCGGCAGCGATGAAAAAGCAGTACAGCGTCTTTGACTACTACAAGGACCAGACGTACAGACCAGGTATAGCTAGTGCCAGGGTAGATGGCAGAAAAAAATCGTGGGGGTGGAGTACTTCCTGCACAGCTTGGGTCGCAGTATGTTGCAGTTGCTTAAGGAAAGACAGCAGAATGCTATGTTGGCTACTCCCTCGGTGAGCCTGTGTCTCAATCTGAGCAATGTCCTAGAGCTTTATTGCTAAGAAGGAGCCCCCTAAACAAAAACCACCGACGTGCTTGTAGGTCATTTCCCTATCAGATCCCTATCCTGCGCCTGCCCCCTTTGGCAGTGGGTTGCTGGCCCACTGTCCCCTTTCGCCAGGCATTCTAATTCTGTAGACTGAGTTTCGATAGGAATCTGATTTTGTAGACCTCTTGGGGTGTTAGAACTACTAACTACAGAATAGAAAGCATTATGTGCTGTTTAAAACTGTTATAGATACATCTAGAGATACAACCTCGGTGAATCAGGTCCCATTGACAGTACCTTTTGGCAGACGCCCCATGTCGAGACAAGTCTTCGGATGAAGCCTGTGACACCCCGAAGGCTAAGGCTGCCCATGGCGTTTCTGCTGGCCGAAGGACGAAGCTCGCAAAGGCCAACCTATGAAGTGTAGAGATTATAAAAAAAGGGTTGAAACCACTCAAGCACAAAGCCCCTAGGCCCTAGGGGTGCGAGGAAACCTCGCAAAGCTCACCTTTTTCCGATCCTGGCCCCCAACCGCCCAACCGCAAGGGCATAGGAACTATATCAGAGAAAGAAACACGGCTCACAGGGGCATGCACCCATACGACATTGGCTGGCACATGATGTTCACGTGACTACAAGTTTACGTGACTACCTTGGCTGGCACATGATGTTCCTCCCGTCGGGATACATGCGAAGACCGGCAGGATGAGGGCTGTGCGCAGCGTATTGCTCGACATCCGGTGTTCGACAACGTGACGATTTTGGTTGTGATTGCCAACTCGATTTGGCTGGGTGTAGATGCAGACATGAATCAAGAGGCCATCCTTTTCAATGCCCATCCAGTGATTATTGCTGGAGTCCAGGTTGCATTGGGAAACCCGAATCCGCAGAGTGATTCACGTTTATGTTGATTGCAGCGGAGGATTGCAACCGCTGTCAGGTTTGGATTTTTGTCATGTACTCGTCAACTTTAGTGGAAGTCTACAGAAAAAAGTAATTCTCCCAAGGGCCACGTGATGTGTTCTTCGGACTGTATTCTCACCGGGTTTTCCAATAATTGTTTAGACTCTAGGCCTCCCGGCTTACATGTTTCATGTTGTTGGTCCTTTCATTGACGGCAACGAGCGCCGAGGCTTTACGTCTTTTACTTGGTGTGTTCAAAAGCCGTGGTTGACCGGTTTATCACTATCAGTTTTGCACAAGCATCGCACAACAAAGAGATACGTTTCCAAGTCTACGTGGCCACGTGGATTAGGGGCCAGGCAGGAGTTCGCTTCGAGTTCCGTCCAGACGAGGAGAGAACTTCTTTTGCATCTACTTCACGCTGGAGATCATCATCCGTTTCTTGGCCTTCCAGCGGAAGTTGAACGCCTTCAAAGATCCTTGGACGGATTGCGCTGTTGTTCCTCCGTCCTCGTAGGAAACGAATGGACACGAAGTGTCCGACTCGTGGGACTTGTGTGCCCAACTCGTAGGACGGATGTTGGAGACACACAGACAGCATAAGAACCTCCCTATCAACATAAGGTTGACAAAGACAGACATCAAGAACCTCCCTATCAACATAATAACCTCCCTATCAAGAACCTCTTGATGTCTGTCTTTTTAAAGTTCGGGACTCGTCGATCCAACTCCGGTTGGCTAGAAAGAAGCCAGCGAATTTGTCTGGGTCCATCCGATCATGGATCCGACGTTTCGGTGCGCTTGGCAGCGTTCCCGACCGGCGCTGGAGCCGCTGGAGATGCAGCTTTGGATCTGGCGAGCGATAGTCGATAGTCTGACCTGCTTTCATTCGTTGAGAAAGGAGGATCGCAGGAGGAGGCGATGGTCTATAATATGTCATGTTTTTTGCTATGGTACATTGTTCACGTCCTTATACATCAGTGTTCACGCGATAGTGAGGCAGTGGCCTACCATACAGATATTGAAAAGGATCAACCAGAAGGCTTGGTCTCGATGGATACATATAGCTTCACACAGAGGCCCAAAGGAGGACACCGTGTTTGGGGGCTTTGCGGCTGGGAACCGTGTTGAGGCCATTCAGCTGAGGTTGAACCCCCCATCCCCAAAGCTGCCAAATTCAGGACCACAAGGGCTTCTTCACAACTGCAGCCCCTGAGTCACCAATGCCAGACCGGGCTTAAGGAAAGCCATGGCTTGTCCAAGTCAAAGGCAGCCCTGCTTTGAGCTGAGGATTTTTGGTTTAGCTTCGACCTTTGCTTGGCCATCCTCATCATTGTGGAAGCTCAGCTGGGTCAGGTGTTCAGCTTCGGCCCAGGGAGCTATAGGTGATGGTAGGTGCCGTAGGTGCGTGGCAGCTCAATTTGTTCGGCCATGCCGGAGTTCAATTTGTTATGAGTTCACTTCACCCCCAGAAATTCTGTGAAAATGGTCATGGCACCGGCGATGTCATGGACGCCTGTCATGGCTACACACAGAGGTTGACGTTCGTCAACGTCATCCATGAGAGTCACCAACTCCAGTTGTTGGGACGTATCAGCCGCCATCCCGAACCATCCCGAAGCACTGTTGCTCCGAAACACCAAAAAAAAAGGCCGCTTTCCTTATACGATCTTTTAGGGATTGGGCTATAGGCTATATATAATCTATGATTCTGCAGTTGGTGTGCACTGGTAGCATGTACACCAATGTAGCAACACAACCAGCAACAAAAGGGTGTA